TGAGTGGACTTCAACTCCCAGAATTCCCCAGCCAGCTCATCTTAAAGTGGCCAAGTTTGGACAACACTGGCCTAAGGGAAAGAGGGGAGGTTTCCAGTTTGCAACACTGTGTTTGGCAGCCCATTCTCTCGAGTCCTCAAGGCCGGGTCCTGATCTAACCCGCAGCGCGGATGCTTCCCAGCAGCACCGCAGCCCTGGAAGAGAATTTAAGTGCAGCACAGGCTTCCGTGGGGGTCTAGTAACTAGAGGTGGTGAAAAAAACGTGAAACGTACATCACCGTGCAAACCCCAGCCTGGTGAACGTGCATCCTGACACCAGCGGCCAGCGTGTGTTTTGTTCTGTTTGAATAACCTTATTGCTTTTCAATTCATCACGAAAAATAGGAAAAAAAATAAAGAAAAGTAGGCGTTTTGTTATTGGCCAACCTTACTCTCCCCCCCGAGGATGCCCACGTGTGCTTCTTTCCCCTTGGTGAAGCTAAAAGGAAGAAGAGCAGAGAAAAACACTGCCGTGTGCTTCTTCCCAAGTAATTCAGCCCCAGGGAAGATTTCTCTGGAGAAAAGCAGTTGGTGGCCGCGTTTACCAAGTAGAGTCTCCTGCAAAGTGGGTGGGGGGCTGTGAGGGGAACATTTAGAGAGAGACCTTCTTGTGGGGGCCAGAAGGACCAGCCTACCACATCCCATGTTGGGCCTGGGGGTGGGTGCCCCAGTACAGTCCTATGGAATGCAATAGGAGTGATTCCCAGGAAGCTGAGAATGGAACTATTAATCTGTTTAACATACCGGCTAATACAATTAAGTCAAAAACATCCTTTACCTGTAATGCGTATGAGATGATTTTTTCATGCGTCTTTTTCATTTGTTTGATTTTGGCGATTTCCTGATAAAGGTGTATCAGTTCTGGAGCCACGTCTCCTTCAGCTGAAATGAGAATATTGACCGTCTTCTCAAAATATTTGGAGGCCAAATCTAATTTGGTTTTCTGCAAACTTGCCCTAGGGGGAGAAATGAAAATAAAAACAGCAGCTGGATTGCGGTGCAGTTGCCAAATCACTGCGCTCGTGGAAGCAACGTGGAAACTCTATGCAGCCCATCAGCCACTCCCATCCTTAGTCTGTTCATATAATGCATCTGTGTCCTTATTTGTCAATCCAGCTTCAAACAAGCAGTCTTTTGCTTACCTGCCCAGCGCCACAACAATGTCTTTGTTGCATACTTTAAGTTTAGCAGCTCCTTTCCAATCTAACCCCTGCAATTCTTCCATACGTTTTTCAGCCTTCTGCAGATTGCAGTAACATTCTTTGGCAGTAGGAAAGTCAAGGAAAAATCAAAATCGGAAATACATTTAAAGCAAGCCAGCAAACAAACAAAAATAACACAACAGAAGTCAATTCAGAGCTCCAGTTGTTTTGGCAGATCTGAACCACCTTTCTACCTACATGTGGTTTTGCCAATTTATACTCTCTATTCAGTGGCCACATAAATCAGTATATTCTGAAGCAGTAGAAAGAGCAAGAACTTTTGAATGATGCCGTTTTGTGATTATGAGAATTAATTTACTCTTGACACTGGTGTCAGACATTTGGTGCCTGAATTTCCGTAAGGGAATTCTGTACACATCCTACCAAAATAAAAGGAAGATGCAAAATACCATAACTCATTCCTCCATAGACTCTGATGCTTGTGTAGAACTGTCCCATTTATTTTGCATTTCGGACTCAGGGCCCTTCTGGATCATCCCCAAGTCTTAAGCTCTACACAACTGAAATATAGCAGAGCTTGAATGGGCTGTTCTGACAGTTTAAGGTTTTCCAGCATGCTACAGGCATTGTGTATTTACAACCATGAGAGGCTGCAGCTTGTTTGCTTCCCTTCAAAGCTACAGGGCTCTCAGGCAATGGCTAACCAACAGAAATGGACCATCCTGGCCAATACTTTGGCACACAGCAGTGTTTCTCAACCTCAACAACTTTAAGATGGGTGGACTTCAACTTCCAGAATTCCCCAGCCAGCCATACCTGGCGGGGGATTTCTAGGGCTTGTGTTTCACCCTCTTTAAAATTGTTGGTGTTGGAAAGACTGGGCACACAGGGATATAACCCG